TTCCATCATCCTTAGAATAATCAGGAAAACTTAGAATTGGTTTGCTACTCTGGGCTATGACAATATAGTCAGGAAAGGCATTTTATCAACCACTGTTTTTAAATAGGCATTTTAATAGAGCAAGACAACTTTGTACACTGTCATAAATGACAAGACCAATTAAAGTTGTATTTAGGTCAAGTTTCCCAACACCTGGGCCGTCCAAGTCTGCTGAATGCAGCCTGATAAGAGGTGGAAGGAGTAACAGCCGGTCAGACCAGAGCGTGAGGAGGTGCTTGGCGACTAGAAGAACAGTACCTTTGGGGATGGTGTTCACATTGTTGTTGACTTGGGATGGTGTGCTTTTCAGCCTTTCTATCACTTCAAAGATGCCACCAAAAAATCCCACTATTCAGATGGTACAGAGAACACACATATGTTGACAACCACTGTCCTTGTGGTTTCTCCTCTCTCCTCTCCTGTGCAGAATTGCTCTCTCAGACTTCACCAACAGCGACCTAAGGGTCAAAGCACCCAGTGCTTCTTCTCAGAGATACTCAACTCCATATGGATTTTCCTTCTCAAAGCCCTGCCTAAACCCTCAGAGTTTCCTCAGAGTATTTCTTGCTCTTCTGTCCTTGTCCTTTCCCTTTCCTCCTTCTTCTATCTAGGCCTTTTCTCCCTCCTCTCTCTAGTCTCAGGGTGATCACGCCTTGCCCCGTGATTCTCATCAGACCTCTCTGCATCTGCCTCCTGGGTTTGCTTGAGCACCATCCTTCTTTCAACACAGGACTTCTGTCTGTCTGCTGGACATCAACATGTGCTGATGAGAGCCTAAAGTCACTCAGGGGAAAACTGAACTCATTTCCTTCCTCACAAGACTTTCTACTTCCTTATTTCTGTGAACATCAGGAGCTTCAGCCACACGAGTAAAAAAATGGCTCCTGTCTCAGGTTGATCCTCTCTCCCCTTTTAAAAATTTAGATTTTTGTTTGTTTGTTTTCAGTTATATATGCATACATTGTTTTAAGACACAAAGTCTTTTAGTTCTGGAAAATTTTCTTGAATTTCTTTAGTACTGTTTACTTTCCACGTCTTTTTTTGCTCTTTCTGGAACTTCCATTATTCAGTTATTGAAACTTGTGGACGGGTCCTCGAATTTTCTTATAATTTTGCTCTCCTGTCTTCCAGTTTCTTTGTCGTGTTGCTGTACTTTCTAGATTTCCTCAACTTAGACTACATTTCTGTTATTTTCCATTTCGGCTATCATATTATTCATTTATACAAAGTTTATTTTTAATGTATTATCTTTTACAACCACTTATCTCTGAGGATAATCATAGACTAACTTCCTCCCCGCTTTATCTGTCTAGTTTGTTTTGGCTTCTCTTCCATGTTTAGAGAGTTTCCCCAAATGCTTGATGATCCTTGGCTGTTCACTCATACTTAAGAGTTGGGCATTTAAATGCCCATCAGGAAGTCTATGCACATGGGTGCAGTTTGTGACCATGGGCTTCAGAGTAGGGTTAGTTGGTGGAGAAATTTCTCTGGGGAACCCTCCAGTGTATCCTCAGATCTTTTCTTTGGATTGGTCAGATTCCTCAGAAAAGTGACATCTGGTCTCTTGGGGGAGAAGGCTGGGGACAGCAGTGGTTCTCAACATTCAGTTGTCTAATTAATCCCATTTTCAGTGTGCTATGCCTATCCTCAGATGTGCCTGGTGTTCCCCAGTCCCGAGACCCTGTTTTACGTTCTCTGGGAAGTAAGCTTCTCATGTACCTGATTCAGGGAGTGCACAATGGTTTAACTACATGAAATCAGGCAGAGGATCTAGAAATAATTCTCGAATAGGCTTTCAATCAACCATTCCTTGGTTCACAGTGTAGTACTTGACACTCCAAAGTCTTCAGGGGGATCCACCTGGTAACCAGGATGCTTCTCATTTTTCTCCATTGCAGCTAAGGATTTGGTTTTCTTAGGTCTGCTAAGTCAGTCCTTGTGTCTCATTGCTCCTGATTTTGGCTCCTTTACTCTTGTCGCAGTGGGTCTCTGCAGGGAGAGCTGGATGCAGGTACTCAGCCAGGACTTGCTGCCCCTGTTCCATTTCCACTGCCCTTAACTCCAGTGGAGTTTCTGCAGGACTCTTTCCAATCTTGCTACTTGTCCACCTAGCCACTTATTGCTACCAAAGTCACTTTTTTCCAAACAGAAAACCCGTCATTTACTCAAAAACCTCATTGCCTATAAAACAGTCCAAACTCCTTATCAAAGGTCCTGGATGATCTGACCCCCCCCCCCCCCCCGCAATATCCCTTTCTGGCACAACTTATCATGAAGAAGAGGATGAGAGGATGTTGGAACCGGACTGCCTGGATCAATTCTCTTGGCTCTGCCACTTGATCAGCTGGGTAATCTTGGCCTAGTTATTTAATCTCATCTGCAAAACAGGGATTATAATAGTACTTGCCCTCCAACATTATGGTGAGGATTATTAGAGCACTTACCACATAGGAAGTACCATGGGAACATTAAAGGTAAGCCTCTGCACGCCTGTCTCCTCCAGGAGATTATCTAAAGTCCTTGGAGAGGGCTCTATTCCCATTGAGTCAACATTTGTGGGATGCTTATAATGGGACAGACATCATGCTCTCCACTAGGGACTATGCAAAAAGAGCTTGGCACATGAAGACTGACTAATGATTAAAATAGAAGGTGACAAACGCTACAATACAGGAAAGAACACAGTGAAGAGAATAGAAAGCAGGTAAGACCCAATGATTCAGAACAGTGGGGGAAGGCTTCAGAGAGCCAGCATTTAAGATGGGGCTTGAGGAGGGGCGCCTGGGTGGCTCAGATGGTTAAGCGTCTGCCTTCGGCTCAGGTCATGATCCCAGGGTCCTGGGATCGAGTCCCGCATCGGGCTCTCTGCTCCTTGGGAGCCTGCTTCTCCCTCTGCCTCTCTCTCTCTCTCTATCTCTCATGAATAAATAAATAAAATCTTTAAAAAAAAAAAAAAGATGGGGCTTGAGGAATGAATCTGTAAGACAAAAGGTTGTGCTGTTAAGACGGTGGGTGGGGGGAGAACGATAGGTGAGGCTGGAGAAGCAGGTTGGGGCCAATTGCACAAGGGCCCTGCATAACCTGTTTTGAGTCTGTATTTTGTTTCAACCAGTTTGTTAATTTCACCATCCTCCCAGGCTGGGAGTCCCAAAGACAATTTGGGGGTGTTACAAGTATTTTGTTATTAATAACAGCGGCAAGGCGGCTATCTGGCAATTATTTAAAAAATAAATTCGAACCCATTCCCCCAAAATGTTCAAGAAGTCAGACATAAAAGAACACATACCCTATGATTCCATTTATATAAAGACAAAACCAGGCAAAATTTAGTCTATGTTTTCCCAATTCGGGATAGTTGCCTTTCCAAGTGGATAGTGACCAGAAGGGGATCCAGGCAGAATTTCTGGGGTGCCAGGAGTTTCTTGATGAGGTTACTGGTTCCACAGGTATGTTGTTTATGAATATCCATCAAGCTGTATACTTATATGTGTTCTTTATCTATTTTTAGTTAAAACAATAAATTAGACTCATGATACTTTGTGCTCACTTGGACACACGTGTGTGTTCACTTCAAGAAGAGGTGGAGCTACAGGCTGGGAACTCATTCTGCAAGTATCATTAGTTTGGTGTTCCTTTACAGACTAACTCAAAAGAGCTCTTGGATATTCTGAACGGCCAAGGATAGCCAACATCAGTCACCTTCACCACTACTAGGGCTCCCTGAGAGTGTGTGACAAATTGACTTATACCCAAGGGTCAGAGACTGAAATACCAGCACTCAGTGTACGCAGAAGATGGCCCTTCCCCTCATTTTAGATATAACAAGTGGCTGATGGTTCCTTATTAACCTTATAGAGAAACACAGCTCAAAACCACATCTGTACAAGCATGGCTTTTAAGGCATTCAACGTGTGTATACCCTTAGAAGCATAAAGAATCACGTTTGTTTTTTTGCTTTTCTGAAAAAAACTTATTTTCACTTAAAAAAAAAATCTCTGTACCCAGTTAAAAACAAATAAATAAAAAAGTAAAAGAAGGTATTTAATGAGAAGTCAAATCTTTTACTTTTTTTTTTTTTTTTTAATTTATTTGAGAGAGAATGAGAGACAGAGAGCATGAGAGGGAGGAGGATCAGAGGGAGAAGCAGACTCCCCGCCGAGCAGGGAGCCCGATGTGGGACTCGATCCAGGGACTCCAGGATCATGACCTGAGCCGAAGGCAGTCGCCCAACCGACTGAGCCACCCAGGCGCCCAAATCTTTTACTTTAGATCTGTTTCTCAAGGTAACCACTGTTAGGACTCTCATATATTCTTATATAAATATTTTATAAACACAGGAAAGAATATATAAATGTATAAGTGTATTACACTTGCTCCCTTTTCTTAAACAAATGGGAGGCCCGTATATTCACTTTTGTTTTTTACTGCAGATGTAAACATGGATACAGCTCATTCTTTCCACAAGTATATAGTATTCTACTGAGTATATATATTATCTTATTTAACCAGATATTTATCTTTTGCTTTTACAAACAATGTGCCTCGAATACTCCTGAATACACTTTCTTTAATGTGTTTCTTAAATTATGTAGAAACTACCCCAGTGTATACCAACTCTGTTACCAAACTTTTTGACCTCTGCATTTCTACTACCATTAGCATCTCATTGCTATCTTAAGTAGGAATTCTCTATTTAGTTCCGCTGATCTTTCCATTTCCACCTGAATGAGTACTGACCTGTTCTGATTACCACAGTCTTACTGCCTCCTCTCAAAAAGAATGCAGAATATAATTATTCATATCACAATTTATTTTTACTTATTTTTATTATTTTTCTAAGTAGGCTCCACGCCCAGTATGGAGCCCAATGTGGGGCCTGAACTCATGACCCTGAGATCAAGACCTGAGCTGAGATCAAGAGTCAGACACTTAACTCACTGAGCCACCCAGGCGCCCCTCACAACAATTTTAAATAGGAAAACTATCTACTGATTAAAAATTTGCTTTAAAGAATAGACTCATGTTCACAGACCAGACCACACACCTACAAATACAGAGAGCTCATCTTCTCTCTTAAAAAAAACCTGCTAAGATTTTAAGTTTTTTACACATCCCATTACAAGTAAATAGCTGAGGGAAATAATAAGTATACTGGGTTAAATAGTGTCCCTCCCAAAATTCACATCTACCCAGAACCCGTGAATGTGACTTTATTTGGAGGTAGGGTCTTTGCCGATGTAATCAAGCTAGGATGAGGTCACACTGGATGAGTGGATGCTAATCCAGGGCTGGTATCTACAGGAGGGAAACTGGATACAGACACACAGGGAAAACCTCACGTGACAACAGAGGAAGAGACTGGACTGACACAGCTCCAAGTTATAGAACACCAAGGAGTGCCAGCAATCACAAGACAGGAAGAGGCGGGGAAGGATTCTTCCCTAGCGCCTTGAGAGAAAGCATGGCCCAGCTGACACTTTGATTATGGACTTTTAGTCTCCAGAACTACAAGAGAATATATTTCCATTGTTTTAAGCCACTGAGTTTGTGGTAATTTGTTAACAGCAGCCCTAGCAAACTAATAGAATATCCATCTCAAATTTGTGTTAGGTCTGAACCACTGTAAATTTCAAGCGACATAAAACCGTTATCAGGTGACTTGTCATTTGAGGTATCTCTGTCAGTCACTAGGCTACTCTGAAAAGGGCAAAAGGACAGACTTGATTTAGAAAATGCTTTTGAGGGTATTTATTTATTTATTTATTTTTACGATTATCTCATTAAGGCACAATTTATAGCAGGGAAAAACAGTTCCTGGAAATAAAATGCTACTGTTTTACAAAGCGTTCATATGCTCGTTATATATTGCCTCAATATGTTTTAACAACTTCAAAAGTGCCGTGGCATTATACGGGAAAAGATTTTTCTTCTGCAAACGGTAAATGGCACCTTGTAGCTCTTCAAAGCACTTCAGTGTTGTGTAAGATATTCCCACTTCGGAGACGTTATTTGGGACTCTATCACAATCAACAGAGAAGGGACTATTAGACTGTTTTGGAACCAGAGGCCTTGATTGAGGCTCTAGGCGAAGTTGTTTTTTATCCGTACCTGTTCCAACTGGGTCCTGAGATTTCTTCATTGCTTCTTGGTGTAAAGATGTTTGTTTACTGTTTGCTGAGTGCTGGTCTGTGCCTTCTGCTTCAGAATCATCAGAGCTGTCATAATCTACCAGACTTTGAGAAGCTCGTAGGGGAGGCAGACTATCAGCCTGGAGCGTGGCATAGGTCTCCTTGGATATCACAAGATGGCTCAGAGATCCAGAAGAAACATTAGAAGCCCAGGAGATCGAAGCATGAGCACTTCTGGGACTACCAGGAGCAGCCGAAGGGCTAAGTTCTGTTTGGTTGCTACTTCCATCTTGGACAAATGAGGAGCTACAACCACAAATATTTATGCTATCTTTAGATTCGGTTACGTCAAAATACTTGCAAATCGTGAAAAAATGAGCCCAGTCTTTTTGCAGTAATTTTAAATATCTAACAAAATATTCAAGGAAACAGGTTTCCGATGAAATCAAAAAGTCAAGAAGAACTGAAGAATCAAATCCTATGTTTTTCAATAAGAATAAGAAAATACAGTGTGGATTATAGCCATACTCATGTGTGTGATGGTTCCACATTTCTTTTTCTTGGGTCGAGCTTTCAGTAGCTTTACATTGTCTGAAAATCAAGGTCACAGAGGCCCCAGATTAATGACTTTTTACAAAAATAACAGTTTTTTTCAAAAATAATAGTTTTAACAGATATAATTCACATACCACAAATTCACCTAGCAGATTATTTTATATGCATTATTTTGAGAAAAAAATTCAAAACAATCTCTTCCTCTACAAACTCCATATAAATCTAACTCAATAAATAAAATCCACAGATTTCAGTAGTTCTAGTTATTGTCTGCCGAACAAAAGTCCTCTATCCTCCTGTCTTTTGACATCAGAGTTCCCTCATTCCTACAGGTAACTGATTACATGGGATAAGATGGGGCTGGAGACTGACCTCCTTCCTTTCCTTCCACGTTCTCCTCTAGGGGTGGGCACGTGACCTAGACTGACCAGTCAGAGTGCCTCATGCTCCTGGCGACAATGACTGCTTCCAACATGAATCTGTGACCCCAGCGGGCCAATCAGATCCCCCCACCCCGGGACTCTTGCTGGAGATATTAAAGATGATACTGTAAGGCTGCTGCAAGCCAGGCACTGCTGGAAGCCCCGCCTGAGAATGAATTCAGAGTTGCAAGATACGGGAAAAGAGCAATGATCAACAATATGATCGAATCCCTGTATATACAGTGTATATTCAGTGATCTCTGATGCCCACAAGCCCCTTGGAATGAATTTCTAACTGTGAGCTAATAAATGCCTTTTTGTTTGTTTGTTTTTTCTTTTTTTTTTTTTTTGCTTAGACTAGTCTGTGTTGGTTTCTATCCTTTACAACCAATCTTAACTAAAAAAGTTACATTAAAAAAAAAATACAAATGGCATGAGCACATGCCTCTCTGGACACACTGAAGTGAAGAATGTTAGAGATTTAATTCAGAGGCTTCCTCTTCCCTGAGCAGTAAGGAGTCAGCTCTGAGTACAACTAAGATCTATTCTAATCAGCTAACAGGCATGCGCGTTTTCAGACTGACTTTGTACCTCACCGTTTGGGAGCCTAATTCAAATCACATGCAGGCATTTTGTGTCCTTGATTAGAACCCTTTGAAAATTGGCCGCAAACACTTAAGAGTCCGAAAGCAGCCACTGCACAGGGCCATAACACAAGGACGACCTGGCAGCACCACACTGAGCTGTCGGGCATTAGTAAGAAAGCCCTTCCTCTGATGCCAAGACAGAAATGGAAATCAAGCAAATACTTGAGGGTTTTAATAAAGCCGAGCAGAAACAGTGTAAAAGGTCATTGGTTACAAGCTTCATAACCATTTACAGATATTTGCCACAGGATGATATGACCCCATGTACAGTCGCTTTAATAAAGCAGGAACAGGCTCAGCACGCCATGTCATCAGTAACACAGCTTCATGACCAACCTCAGAGACCTGCCTCAAGTGGCTATCAGCCCCCATGCAACCGTATAATAAAATGAAAATACTGAGCTGCTGCTTTGGTTACTTACAAGGCTGAGGTTACCTTTAAAAAGGCAAAAATCACCACACTGAAGCTCATGGTGGAAAAGTTAAGTCTTGGGGGTGAAAAGCATTTTAGAACATGGATTAAATGAAGGTTCGGACAATGGTACAAGCTTACTCCTGCTCACGTAGGTAAACCGGATGAAGCTAAACCAGAACCTGTGCTTTCTAGCACCCCCGCACCCCCGGTCTAGTTCTACTCCCCCAGATCTGCCTACCCAGCCAAGTTTTCATAATGAGAACTCAAATGTAATCTCATTTTCATGTAGGACAGGGTTAAAGCAAGGAATTGGAACTTACAAGGAAACCACAAGATTGTTACGGATTTTTTTTTTTCCCCTTAATGATGGAAAGTAAACAGTATGTCCAGCACATTATTAAAAATGTTTTCTGCTTTTCTGGCACGTAGTTAGTAAAATTACTTTAAAATATACTAGCCTGGTCAACTTTAGGTAGATGCCCAGTGATGCTTTGGCAGCCTCCAGCATGTCATCGTCTTGTTCTATGAAGACCTTGGAGATCCACTCACATAGATTGTGTGACTGAAGGGAGGGCTGAAGGTGAGGCTTTAAGAAGGTCAGTAACTCACACATGAAACTCTGTAAATCAACTTCAACAAATGCAAATTCAAAGAGCGGGCAACTGCTTATGAATACATTAACATCGTATTATAATTTTATATATAGGCATCTCAAATACTCCAACATGGATTATCATAATTCACACTTTCAAAAAGCCTATGAGTTAGGGATTATCTCTACTTTGCAAATTAGGAAACTGAATGTCAGAGGATACAATTAAAATGTATACTCTTGAGTGAGTGAATATCATCTATTCACTGCAAGTACCAGATAACTATTTTGGAAAAACTAGAGTTACATGAATTCTTGCTAAAAGTATATAAATAAATGAGTAAGTAGTAGACAAAAGACATCACTTCACTGGATGCCACAGCTATTTGTTACTAGAGGCAACAGTGTGGCCAAGCAAAATCATTTTGCCTTTAAAATAACAGGAAAGATTTTTTTTGTTTAAGTATTAAAAGAAAGCACTACTATTAAGCATAAAAACCAAAAAAGATTTTGGGGAGTTTTAACTGTAATTTAAAACTCTGAATTGGGGCGCCTGGGTGGCTCAGTTGGTTAAGCGACTGCCTTCGGCTCAGGTCATGATCCTGGAGTCCCAGGATCGAGTCCCGCATCGGGCTCCCTGCTCGGCAGGGAGCCTGCTTCTCCCTCTGACCCTCCCCCCTCTCATGTGCTCTCTGTCTCTCTCATTCTCTCTCTCTCAAATAAATAAATACAATCTTTAAAAATAAATAAATAAATAAATAAAACTCTGAATTATAGAACATATGCCACCTAGTGTTTTAAATTATAACCGCACAGAATGATATCTAGTGTGTGGTAATTACAAGGTAAATGACATTCAAAGCAATTCAAGAAAGTAGCTGCTTACAGTTCAAACCTTTCACTAGAACTATATGCCGCTTGTTTAGGGAAGTCTACTATTCCTTTTTAGCAGATGAAATGGAGGACATGTCTTCCCCAAAACCTAAATTGAATATCCTACTTTAAACAGTTGTCTTTGGACTGAGTTAAGATCCTAGACATTATATGCAACAATTTCTTAATCAATATAACTTCTCACGTTAGTTTTAATTCACTTTCTAGTTATTGATAATCTACGTTACCCAATTTTCTGAAGGAAAATATGAATGAAATACTACAAATATTTGAACTGACTTATATCACTTGCTTTGAGGTGCTCAATAGCACCTCTTTGTTTTTAACCTTAATCATTAATTATGCCATACAAATTCAGTTGAGCCCACAAAATGTACAAATTCAGTTTAGCCCACAAAATGTTGACATGTTTCTTGTGTAATTCTAATTTTTCTTTTTTAAAAGAAAATGTAATAAATTATAATTATAACATGTAGATTTAATTAGTGGAGTTACAGTCCTGAGATTTGAAAATTATTAATTACTTTATATCAGTAAACAATTACTCATTACTTTGCACACAAAAGGAGTTCAGAGAATTACCTTTCATTTCATCTGCTGAAGCACAACTTTGAAACTTGATTTCTACGGATTTAATGATAAGTAGGCTTGCTGCTCTGAGAATAACATGATCTGGACCAGGGACATGCTCACATGTAGGTTGAATTTCATCTCCACCAAAGCAGGGAGGTTTTCCATGGACAGACAACGTCCTCAATAAGCCCAAATCCACAGCTCGCAAAACAGCATCAGCTAAAGCCAACATATCTACATCTAAATGCCGATCTGGTGGCATTAGGACAGGGCTGGATGCCCGACAAAGGTCTTCGCCCACTTTCCAGAGAAGGCACTTTTTGATGAATATGATAAACTTCCTTTTGACAAAAGCCTGAACAGGCCAGGTAATAACATCTAGCACACAAGAAGGTTTCAAAAATAAAATCCTCTGGCAAGTGAAATGTAGCTTCAGATGGATTCTGGAAGCTATAAGAAGTTCAAGTAATTCCAGGAAACATATCAAGCTGTTTATTATTTTAGAGGTATCTTGGCAGCTTTCAAAATGCTGAGAAAATAACGAATTGTAAAAAACTTCAAAAATAGTGTCAAAAGGAGTCAAGAACTGCTTTAAAATTTCTGCAATGATAAAAACAGTAATTATAAACAAGAGGAAAAGTGAAGGCTTTTTTTTTTTTTTTAAGATTTTTATTTATTTGACAGAGAGAGACACAATGAGAGAGGAAACACAAGCAGGGGGAGTGGGAGAGGGAGAAGCAGGCCTCCCGCGGAGCAGGGAGCCCGATGCGGGGCTCGATCCCAGGACTCTGGAATCATGACCTGAGCCGAAGGCAGACGCTTAATGACTGAGCCACCCAGGCGCCCAAAAGTGAAGGCTTCTTAAAACACAATTTACAATTCAATTTTTATAAATATTATCACTTTACAAGATGAAAAGATGGATGTGGACTGTTTAATGTGAACAAATGAAGATACACAAAATAACAGCTAATATATAATACACACACACACACACACACACAATAGAGTATTACTCAGCCATGAAAAAGAATGAAATCTTGCCATTTGCAATGACATGGATGGAGCTCGAGTATGTTATGCTAAGTGAAATAAGTCAGTCAGAGAAAGACAAATACCATATGATTTCACTCATATGTGGAATTTAAGAAACAAAACAGATGAACATGGAGGGGAAAAAAAAAAGAGGGAACCAGAAAACGGACTCTTTTTTTTTTTTTTAAAGATCTTATTTATTTGGCAGAGAGAGAGAGAGATAGAGAGAGCACAAGTAGGCAGAGCGACAGGCAGAGGGAGAGGAAGAGGCAGGCTCCCAGCTGAGCAGAGAGCCAGACGTGGGATCTGATCCCAGGACCCTGGGATCATTACCCAAGCCGAAGGCAGACACTTAACTGACTCAGCCACCCAGGTGCCCCCAGAAAACAGACTCTTAACTACAGACAACAAACTGATGGTTGCTGGAGGGGAGGTGGGCAGGGAGGATAGGTTAAATGGGTGATGGAGATTAAGGAGGACACTTGTGATGAGGACGGGTGTTACTTGTAAGTGATCAATCACTAAATTCTACTCCTGAAATCAATATTACACTATATTTTAAATAGAATTTAAATAAAAACTTGAAACAAGCAGAATAACAGCTAATAACCACAGTTAATTATCCATTTTACAAATATCAAAAGGGACATATAATAGCTTTAATTTTTGCCTAATAATTATAGTCTTCAGTCAAAAAATTTGGAGTGAGATTATTTAGTTTTTCATACTTCAGGACAGATCAGATGCTGTAAAGTAAGTTTTAATCTTCATTATAAACATAATGTTCCGGGGCGCCTGGGTGGCTCAGTCATTAAGCGTCTGCCTTCGGCTCAGATCATGATCCCAGGGTCCTGGGATCGAGCCCCGCATCGGGCTCCCTGATCACCGGAAAGCCTGCTTCTCCCTCTCCCACCCGCCCCTGCTTGTGTTCCCTCTCTCGCTGTGTCTCTCTCTGTCAAATAAATAAATAAAATCTTAAAAAAAGAAACATAATGTTCCTTGGGAGCAAAAGAATGACATTTATGGGGAACCATAATTTGTACCTGTTTTTTGTGAACATGTATCTTTAAAGATTTCTTTTATTATAACAGTAAGGGTCCAGAGGCAGTATACTGCTTTCTCATTTTCAGGGTATTCAGAAAGATTTTTTTGGCAAAAAGCAATCCAGGAATTACTAAATGTTATCTACAAGTGAGAAAACAAAAAGTAGCAAGTTATAATAGAAAATTTTCTTTACAATTGCAAATTACTTATTATATACAGTACAACTCTATATAACATTGTTTACTCCCTTGCAAAAAAAAGTCTAGTATTTGGTAAAACAAGAAAGACACAAATATCCTAATATTCTGTAAGTAAAAAAATTCAATGTGCCATAGAAATAAAGGCTCAACAGGGAACATGAAAATATTAGCAGTCATTATTTCTAGGTGGTGGAATGATGTGTGATTTTTATTTTGTTCTTTATACTTTCTCTCATTTCCCAAATTTTCCACTACTAATCCATCTTTTTGTATTTAGAAAAAAATGTTACTTTGAGAAAGGAATAAGTAATTATAGCTTAAATAAATCGGTAGATGCTTACATTTATTAACTAATGCAGAGGTAAGAGAAAAATCCGATGCTCAATTTGTTTGTATTTTTTTCATCACGCTGAGGACCATTCTTAGAATTTATTTATATTGAACCTGTAAAAATGGTCTTGGTCTCCAGCAGAGGCTCCTAAATCTTTTTTTGGAGAAAGGGAAGCAGGCCTACCTGCTCCTTTGAGAAACTGAAGAAGTTATAGACTGACTTGAAACCCATCCTTCAGGTGAATCTGATTTATAATGACTTATGACATATTTAAGACTCTAATCTTTGATACAAGTCACTATTATATTACTACTCCATTCTTACACTTTTATGGATTTATACGTTATTAAAAGAGCAAACGTTTTATTGATACAAACATTTGAAGGGTAAAATCGAATGCCAAAGAACAATTTTAAAGAAACTATGAAAGAAAATAGCATAACTTGATTACTTATCTTACCTTTTCTCTCAATTGGAAATACAGAAGTAGTGCAAGGCACTTTGCAGCCATGTGAGATAACAATTTATCCGAGTTTTGGAACATACAGGTCTACGGGAAAGCAAATAAATTTACCCACTATTACTGAATGTTTTTAAAACTTTTGTTTTAAAAACCTAGATCTAAAGAAAAACCCCCAAAACAACAACAAAAAACCCACAGAAAACAAATGGCTTACTAATTTAGAATCGATGTCAGATGATTTTAAAAGAACTTTAATTGTATCTCTGTATTTCTCCTTCGCACGGAAGTCAGTTTCAACAGACAATATTCTGGTTATCATCACTTTGATTACTGTTAACTGAAGGAGCACTACTTCCCGGGCGCTGCGTATCGGCGAGTGTTTCTTCAAACACACAGGCACTGCAGAAATGGTAGCCAAATTGGCAGAGGATGGCTGATGCTTGTCCTGGACTCCATGGGGGTTTGGGCATTCTGAAGAGGCGGCTGTAGAGCAATCTTGATCCAAAGATGCTGGGTTGAGATAAAAGATGTAATCATGGTTCTCATTTTCAAGTGTGGCTCCCAGAAGTACCTTCTTGTATAATTGTTCTAAAACGTCAAAGAAAGCTTCCATTGGGACTGCCAAAATATATCTCATGAGAAAGCTGACAACTCCAAACTGTAAATATTAATCTCAGAAATGCAACAAATCTGTAAGATGTTTCTTCGGTAAAACCTAAAATAGGAACAGTAATTTTAAAATTAGCATCATATACATCATATTACAGGGGAAAGGCATCTATTTTCACTTAATCATTTAGCCTCTCAAGTTAAATAAAGGTAATATTGATTGCTTAATTTCTAAAATGGAAAACTGGTAATAAGAACATTATCTTAAGACTGTAAAAATGAAATGGATGTTTTCCATATAGATTTAAGACCATAAATTTATTTTTAATTTTATCAGAGCAGAAACTTTACCTTTCCTCTAACATTTTTCAATGGGCCATGAGGGCCTCTCAATCTTGGCACTACTGACATTAGGGGCTGGATAATTTTGTTGTGGGGGAGCTGGCCTGTGCATTGTAGGAAGTTTAGCAGCATTCCTGGCCTCTGCCCACTAGATGCCAGGAATACCTCCCTTGGTGTGGGTCGGGGGCATAACCATGCAGGCTGACACCCACAGGGCCACCTCCAATTAATTAACCTTCACCTTCAACTTACAGATGAAAACCTAGTTAGATGGCTGTGTGGTCAAACTACTGTGCTTATTGATGATTAATTCACAACTTAAAATTAAATAATAGGAAGATCCTTTGCCAGCACTTTCAACATTAAATAAAAAATGAAAAACGCCAAGAAAAAGACAAAATGTTAAGCGAAAATAATCCAAACGTGAGCACACTGTCCTTGTAGCTGGATACAACTTTAGATACGCCCGCTGTCCCGGACGGACTCTGACGTGATAGAGACCAGCAAGAGTGAGGAGAAGGGAAAGGACGCTTACGGTCAGACGTGGCTTATAAAGCAAGGAATATGGACAATCACTGATAGATGAGTATTAGAGGAAATATTATAGGTAATACAAGTATTAATGTAGTTACTATAGAGCAAGTGTGGCTGGGAGAAATTTAAGACTTTGGCAGAAGGTAGAGATTACTGAATATCCTTCCATTGAAATGCTGAGCCTCTGGGAATTATATGATCCTTTGGGGCTCAGGCCTTTCATTGCCTTTGAGCTATTTCACACCTTTGTAAATTTGTTGATTGCTGATGGCAATGCAAATAATTCTTGTCTATAGACATGCAGATAATTGTCTGGTGGAGGGTCAACCCTCCTCCCAGCGGGAAAAGCCAGGTTTGCTTCTATTTGTAAACTCAGTTCAACATTCCTTTACTCCATGTAAATTCATGGTTCTTTAACTTTTCCTTTAAAATGGCTGTGACATCTGCCTAGTTCTTTCATTAGTTAATGAGTTAAATAAAATTGCTGATACAAGTTCATTTTGTATGGGTCATGACTTTGTCCCTTTCCAATTTATCCTTTAATAAAGTCCAAGGACTTTCCCCATCTACTCCGGCCCATTTATAAATGCCCAGTCCATCTTTTAACCGTGGTCCTCACTGGAGGAATCCTAGGAGGGCTGTCACATACATTGGGTCTCACTTCTACAGTATGGCCCACTGACCTGCCCCTGGTCTTTATTTTTCCCCTCCCTCTCTTCCCCCTTGCTTAGCTTCTAAGGAATTTCAATTCCTGATCACCCTCACAGGACAAAACCGCCTTGTTTTTGTCCTATAGTGTAAAAATAAGTTTTAAGAAACCTATAGATTGTAACTTAAAGTTAAGAATGAAACTTTCTCTGGTAAAGTTTCTCTGAATCCTCTTTTGAAACTGTGAACATCCCACGTGATTTGGAAACATAACTAATTATCGGGAATCTTGTTCCATCTGATAGTGTTCAATGTTATCTGTTACCTGAACACTGTGCTCCCAGAAAGCAAGAATGATTAATGTTCCAAGAAACGGCTCACCATATTCCAGCTAGGCCTCACCTCTACGGTTCCACATTGACTCCCCTTGTTTCACAAACCCCCACATTTCCTCCTTCTTCTTTGAGACGTGTCCCATTAATGAACATTCTACCTGTTGCAATAACCTGAATAAAATCATCTTAATTGTCTGGTGAATTTTTTTTTTTTTTTTAAGATTTTATTTATTTATTTGACAGAGAGATAGAGAGACAGCACAAGTAGGCAGAGTGGCAG